GACAAAGTGAGACAATCCTCGGAGGTTTTCCTCATCTCCCGGCCATGGACTAAAATACAAAGACAAAGAGGATTACTAGACAGGAGCTGATTGGTTCCCCAAACCAGGACTCCGCCCACATCAGGCAGCTTGGTCTCTGAGGAGCTTACAATTCCACCCTCAAGGGAACTAGGAAATGGCTCCTTGATCTCCTACCAGGTCATTTCTTTATTCATGGACCTTAGTCAGAGAGTGAGGAAACAACCAGAACTGTCTTTTATAGGAGGGACAGTGATGAGGGGATTATAGGACGAGGGTCCCCACCCCCTCTATCACTCATCGCCATCTTCCCAACACAAGAAGTACTGCACTTCCTTATTTAGTCCATGATTTAGTCATGAAGAACAGCGGGGCTGAGCCCCACCAGAGGTCAGAGAGTGAGGATGGGGGGAGAAAAACCAAGATGAAGACTGGACTGATCCTGAAGACCACCATCATTGGGGTATTGACTCCTCCAGCAGGAGGAGCAGGAGGTCATGGGAGAAGCAGAGAGGACGGTTTTTGGTGATATTTGGAGACAAGATCGGTGATGTAATTTGGGGCAGAGTTATAAATGGCTTTATATGTTATTGTTAATATTTTGACTTTTATTCGTTGAGCAATGGGAATCCAGTGGAGGGATTGGCAGAGAGGGGTGGAGGACAATGAGGCCAGTGGATGGAGGCAGTGGAGGGATGGAGGGATTGGCAGGGAGGGGTGGAGGACACTGAATGGAGGCCAGTGGAGGGATTGGCAGAGAGGGGTGGAGGACACTGAGTGGAGGCAGTGGAGGGATTGGCAGAGAGGGATGGAGGACACTGAATGGAGGCCAGTGGAGGGATTGGCAGAGAGGGGTGGAGGACACTGAATGGAGGCCAGTGGAGGGATTGGCAGAGAGGGGTGGAGGACACTGAATGGGGGCCAGTGGAGGGATTGGCAGAGAGGGGTGGCAGATACAGAATGGTTAGTAAGGTGGATGAGTCTGGCAGCAGCATTCATGATAGACTGAAGAGGGGATAGCCTGCGATGAGGTAGGCCAATGAGGAGGGAGTTACAATAGTCAAGGTGAGAGATAACAAGAGTAGTTCAGGATCAGGATGTACCAATATTGGTGTAGAAATGCAAAAATAAACTTTAGCTTACTAAAAGCAGTGTGTGCCTCAGGTGACCATACAAAGGGCACTCCTTTCTGTCAGCTCTGTAATTGGTGCGATTACCTTAGAGATGTTTCTTATGAATTTCCTGTAAGTTGGCAAATCCAACAGATTATATTTCCTTCACGTTTCCAGGTACAGGACCATCCACCACTGCCTTGATCTTCTCGGGATCCATGCTCACTCCTTCTGAAGAGATAATAAATCCCAAGACCTGGATCTGGGTTTGTTCAAACTCACATTTCTCCCAGTTTGAAGTCGGTTCTTCCTTAATCTTTCGAATACATTGCAGACACGCTTGAGATGATCCTCCAAGTTATCGGAAAGGATGAGAATATCATCCAGATATATACAATAACAAACTGGTCCAACAGATGTCAAAAAACACATCATTGATGAAGTGCTGAAAAGTCGCGGGAGCGTTGCATAGGCCAAAAGGAATAACTAGGGACTCGAAGTGCCCATATCTGGTTGTAAAGGTGGCTTTCCATTTGTCTCCTTGATGAATGTATACGAGGTTATATGCCCCCGTAAGTCAGGTTTTGTAAAGACTTTGGCAGTGCGGAGTCTTTCCAGAATTTCAACGATTAATGGGATTCTTTTGTGCTGCTGGGTTCCAGGTGGTATCTGAGATCAATCATCAGAATTCAGCTGTGTACTCAGAAACAGAGCGCCTACCCTGCAGTAAACTATGCAGCTTTGCTTCAGCAGTAGCACAATGGTTGGGATCCTCAAAGACCTGGTTCAATGCAGTCATGTTCTATATGGGGAGAGGGACCAAGCTAGGGCTTCCTCAGTCAGGAGGTTTATAACAAAACAATACTTTCTATTTCTCAGAATTAAATGCAGCAGGTTGCATCTGGAAAAAAATGTGGCATTGGTTAAGGAGACCTCTGTAATGGCGGCGGTCTCCATTGAACTTGACTGACAGAGGCATGCCTGTGTTAGCAACATAACGGGAACATAAGTCCAGCAATCGTCTTTGCAGAGCATGGATTTCCTCCTGTTGCCCCTTTAACACACTTTCCAGAACATTTTTCTTGGTAGGTAACACCGAACTCTTGCAGTTCTGAAAGTTGGTCCCTGAAAGGAGCCACGGTATTTGCTATAGCGGCCTCCATGTTTGGGTCAGATTTTTCTGTGCCGGTCAGAGCTCAGGCTCAGAGACCAGTAGTTATAGCAGAAGACCAACCAACAGGATAGGTATACAGGCAGGTCACCCTGACAGATGACATGGGCTCACCTGAGGTGCGGGGTCTAAGCACTAACCAGTATCACCAGAGCTCCAGATGGTGGGTATGGGTTTTGCTGCGTGTTAGTACCAGGTCACAGTAGTAGTAGTCAATAAACAAGCCAAGGGTCGGTAACAAGTGGCTGCAGGTTGGGATGAAGCAGAATCATAGCCCAGGAACAAGACAAGGTCAATAGCAAAGCTACAGAAGGTAGCAGGAGAGACAAGGGCAAGATATTGGATGGAGAAGGCACAAAAATCTGCCAAACAGGAAGTGCAGAGACATGGCTTAAATCAGGAAGTTCATGGGAGGAGCAAAGAGTTCAAGGCTCAGCAGAAAACACAGCAATGGATAAGCAGAGTGCCGTCCATTATATCAGGTAACTAACCAGTGAGAAGAGCTTCTGCCAGACACAGTAGAGTTCCTGGGTTCAAGTCCAGGTTCTGACAGGTGCCTAGGTGTAGCAGAGGCAATGAATTAAATATTTAGCTGAATCCCAGAACCTCCATAAATCCAGTCTAGATACATAAATTGTGTCTGCAGCACAGAGAAGGAAGATTATCCGAGAGAAATCCAGGAATACAGGACGGGGAACACAGCTCAGGAAAGTGACCAGGGGATTACAGGCTGATATCACCCAGTCCCCGCCCTACTCTGGACCAATCAGTGAGCAGTATGGGTGGAGGAATGGATTTAGTGTTCATGACCCACCTGTGCTGATCTCTGTAGGAGTGTCCTCCTCTATAAATGTCCCCGTTATTCCATCCTCCTCCATAGACTGCTGATCATCCCTCACATACGCCTCTTCTTCTTCTGCTTTCACCTCAACTTTTACATCTATTAGATCTTCATCCTAAAATAAGAGAAAATAATATCTGTAAAATATAAACTAACATGAAAAATACACAAATTGTCTCCACAAGACCATGCTCTAGATGCTCCATCCCACCAACCTTGTAATAGTGAGGGATGGTGTGACCTTCCTGTGTGGAATCCCGGGAATACAGAGGACGGGGACATCTCTCTGGTGGGTTCCTGGTATTAGGTGGCTCCATCATATCCTTGTGCCCTTCTGAGGACTTCTGCATCACTCCATACTCCTCATCCTCCTCTATAAATTCTTCCTTAACAACAATATTATCATCCCCGAGGATTCCACTCTGAAATAAATAAATTATTGTAACAAACAAAACTGTTATAAAGCAGAACTTCAGTTGTCAATCATCTACCTGATAATGGTGAGGGATGGTGTGACCTTCCTGTGTGGAATCCCAGGAATACAGAGGACGGGGACATCTCTCTGGTGGGTTCCTGTAGCTGGATGACTCCACCATGGTGTCCTGGTACAGATCTTTGTGTTCTTTTAGAAGCTCTGACTCCTCCATCCCCCCATCCTCGTCCTCCTCCTCTTTTATCTCTTCTTTAACCTCAACTTTAGGATCTCTCAGGTTTCCACTCTGAATATATAATAAAAATGACATCAATGGTAACAATGCAGATAATGTACAGATCCTAATGATACTATCAGTGATTGTTCCTCATCTACCTGATGATGGTGAGGGATGGTGTGACCTTCCTGTGTGGAATCCCGGGAATACAGAGGATGGGGACATCTCTCTGGGGGGTTCCTGGTATTAGGTGGCTCCATCATATCCTTGTGTCCTTCTGAAAACTCCTCCATCACTCCATACTCCTCATCCTCCTCTTTATACTCTTCTTTAACAGCAATATTCTCATCCCCGAGGATTCCACTCTGAAAGATATAATAAAACATTCATTGTAACAAACATGCTGTGTATAAATCACAACTACCAATAATTTTGGTTAATCTATATGTCCTATGACATCACACTGACCTCATAGCTCCTCCTCCTAATGTCCCTTCATCCAGAGTCAGAGAATCCTATGACATATAGACTCTGGATGGAGGGACATTTGGATGGGGAGATTTGAGGGGTCCTCTATATTAGGCTCCCATCTAAACCAAATCCTAGTTCCTGGGTGCGTCCTACCTCTCCTAAACTGAAGAGTGACCTTTGACCTTTACCATCCAGAAATCTGTCCGGAATCTGTGGAAGTAAGCTGTCATGTGATCAGGTGACGTGCGGAGGAACGGAGTGTAAATAGCAGACAATTGTCTCCAGAGAGCCCCTAATGGTGGGGATGGATTTGGCGGCGTGCGTGCTGGTGCCAAGTTTCCTCCCCCCAGGGTCACTGCAGGTGTGGAGAAAAGCTGTGTAAGAGGATATGGAGGAGAGATGAGGAGGAGAGATCCAGGAATCAGGAGAAAGGTCAGGGCAAGCAACAGACGAGCGCATCCAAGAGACCAAGCCGGGGTCACTACACAGAAAATCAATCCAAGGAAACAACAGGCAGGACGAGGAATAGCAAGAAGGAGCTGAGAGACAAATGAGAATATTGCTCAGCCAATGGGAGATGATCTCAGCATGACTTCCATCATGAAGGAGATGAGGGGGAGGGGAGGAAGTCACTGAAGGTGACCATAGATCCATGGAAATTCAGCTGGTTCAGCAGGGATCGCTCACATTTCCATCCATGTGTGGCCACTGCCGGATAAAAGCCACTCCCCCAGCGGCTGCAGCCAATAGCTTCAGTGCTGATCTGTGTATTCTGAGAGCTGAGGAGTCCCCCCATTGTCAGAATACAAGAGTGCAGCGGGGAGGATTCCCCCATCCACCTCCAATGTGTGGATGGGGGGGAATCACTTCAGTTTTTATGGTCATCCCGCTGGCTGAACGATAAAACTGAACCATGTAGGCCAGCTTTGGGGGCAAATATATTATCATCAACTCCTCCCCCTGAAGGGGATAATCTACGTATTACCTCCTCTGCTGCCAGATCCAGGAATGTCTCCTCTCTACTTCCTCATTTATGTAACTTCCTGTCTGTACCTGACATCACTTCCTGTCTTCCATAGAGACTTCCTGTCTGTCTTCCCATAGAGACTTCCTGTCTGGGTAGAAGTGAGATCCCCACCTTGTGGAGCTCAGAGGAACTGCAGCCCCGAGAAGCGTCTGGTAGTGTGACCCCGGCCTTGTGCTGGGTGTGTATGGACTGTAGATCCTTATAGAGGGGTCACCTCCACTCCCACCAAGGGGGACAGAAATATATGACTCCTCGGGGGAGGGGTTTTGGCCCCTTTGATTTTGCAGTAACATTGATTGCAGATTTAGTCCTGTAGAACATCTGGTATATGGATACAAAGCCCCCCAGCTGGGAGTAAAGGGTGGAAATGGCTGGTGACCCCCAGATTTGGGCAATGATGTCATCACTATAAATGGATAAAACCCGCGCTATGTGTAACAACTCCAAACCTACAAAAACCTTCTAGCGGACTGCTGCTGTAACAAAGGGAAGGATTCCCTGTCATCTAGAAGAGCATTATGTGTCACAGCGCTGTCCTATTGTGTGTGCACAGAAATCATCACAAATACACTACAAATATGTGGAGACATTCAGAGATAAAGAGCTCGGGGCTCCAAATCCTATTCTCTGCACATCCACTGCTTCCACTTTACACCCACTTCATTGGTCTTATGGGGTTTATCAATAAATGAAGGAAACTGAACCGTGTGCAAATCCATCCACAACATAAAAGTGCTTTGTGCTCAAGATGCTGCTCCCTGCACATCCACTGCTTCCACTTTACACCCACTTCATTCATCTCATCAGATTTGCTGCTATAGGAAATCATTTATAATGATGTCCCATCTCGCTGCTCGTAAAAACAATTCTGCAGCTAATTGGCCACTAGGATTACTTTTACATGAAAGCCGCCCACCAGCTAATAAACCAGCACTAGAATGATGCCTGTAGCTGCAAGCATCCTCCCGGTATAACCACTCCAAGTCCAGCGACGTTCCAGTACATTGCTGGTCCATGTTGGACATATATGTACCAGCAGAGAACACGGACATACGATGAATCGGGTCTGCGGACCAATATGACTGCAATTCATTCTTTTCTGTAATGTCCATGTTGGGGGTTCGGCCCAAAAAAAAGTTTTTTATTTTCATAAACGGTGATGATAGAGTTCCATGTGAATTGTGTGACAAGAGCTGAATTTGGGGGGCGGCCATGTATTGTGGTGTATAAATTGCCTTGGCCCACAATTGGTACAAATCTTCTGTGAAGAACAGTGGAGGGGCTGAACACTAGTGCTGGCAGTGACCGGGCCGATCCGGCTAACACTGAGTATTGGGGACACTATACAAAGCCGGCACTAGTATAGTTCTGTTCATGATCAATATATTGATCCGTACAAACACTATACTAGTAATGGCGGTGATCAGCGACCTATAGCGTGAGTGCGACAGTGTGCGGCCAATCTAACGCCAGCTGACCCTGGCTGGGAGGGGCTTACTGACCCTGACACTATGTGATGTCACTAGTGGCAGGAATACAGAGATCAGTGATACATTCTATATACTGACACTGTACTAATGGCACTGGCTGGGTGACGGGGCAATCAAAGGGTTAAATGTGCTAATCTAACATGTGTGTACAATGTAGTGGTGCTTTTACTCGGTGCCGTGTTCTCTCTTCTCTCCCTGGACTGACCGGGGGGGGCAGTGGGGGGTGAGGCGCATTGACACCCCAAAACAGGAAGTGATGCAGATTATGCCACTTTGCCAAGAGCTGCTGCTCGCCCACAAAATGCGGGTAAGTGGTTGGCAAGTAGTTAAAAAAAAAAAACCTAAAAAAAATTTTTAAACAAAATTCTCAATATGGTATTTAACTTTTTTTTTTAATACTTGTATCAGAATAGTAGGATGTTACCATAGTAACCATTGTACTACTGTGGGGGGAGGGGGGGTGATCAGGGATTTTTTTTTTTCCACACACTTTTCTTTGCAGGAGAAATAATGGTCATTTCTCCTGCAATGCAAAGCTTGCTGTCAGAACCGAACTCATTCATCAACTGTCATTAAGTTAGCTTTTTGACAGCTCAAGATAATGATCTGTGATTGGCTGGAGCTGGTCACATGGTACAGGGTGCTGTGATTGGCCCCATATATCATGTGACAGCTGTGGGCCAATCACAGCTCACTAGGAGGAGAAGCAGAGCTGTTATGAATGAGATTGATTCATAACAGCTGCTTACATTGGGATCACCTAGAGATCACATGATCACCGGGTCACAATCACTGGGATCTTCATTTCGCTGTATCCACCAGACACAGCAGTCGGGGGAGGGGAGTGCTGTGTTCCGGCTCGGGTGCGCACCCCCTCCTGTGTTAAGTACAGCCAGAGTGACGTACAAGTACATTGCTTTGCCTGTAGCTGCCGCCTGGCCACAGTACATTGCGGGTGGGAAGCGGGTAATCTAGGACTAAGGATTCCAAGCTCACTCCTTGGGCCATGATATCATCCAGGCAAGAAATGTAAGTTCTGTGTTCCAATTATGAGGTGACAACAGCATAGAGTGCTTTCAGGATAATGGACAAAGGTAGACAAGCATTGCATGCTGTTGTTGTGTGAAGCAAGTCTGTCTCCTTTTTTATTACAGATAATACATTTTGTTTGGCTTTTTCTACATTGTTCCCCGATCCTGACATTCGTGGCCTCCTGGGCTGGATGTGCCGCTGGATCCAGGCCCTGGAGCAAGCCCTGGAGGTGGAACCAGACGAGGACCAGCCCAGCCTGGAGACTATTTCAGGCAGCAATTTTAGTTTAGTTACAATTTTTTATGATGTTTTATAGTTTTCTATTGATTGTTGGTAATAAATGTTCTATTTCTCTTGGACAGTGCCCTGTGTTGTGGCCTTCTTCAGCCTTTGCAGGTCGGCAATCTTCTTCATTGCAGTTGGAGCTGATCTGCATGTCCCTAAAGCATTGCAGGACTCTGCTAGCTCCAGCTGCACTGGACAATCTTGCTTACCTGGAATTTCTGGTAATGTCCAAACGAAGTGTTTTCTGGCAAGTCCAGCTTTAGGACTGTAGCAGATAGGATTGCATGTTTCCGAGAGGTAAACCAGCTCCTTCAATCCTAAGCTGGGATACATAAAGATTGAAGTTGTCTGCTTGCTGTCTGCAGCTACTCCCAATCTTGGTTTGCTTCCTCTTGTGTGAAATGCTGCAACAGTTTACACAGAACACTCCATTCACGTTACATTGTTCACGTTTGGAGTAGATCTTCATTCCATCCAGGGACTTCTACATAGCTTGGTGGAGTGTAGTTGTGCAGACTGCCAAAAGGGGGTGCAGCCAAGTAGACAATGTGTGGGGGGATCCTGTGGCCCAACTCTGTCAAGATGTCTCCCATCACCTCATCTCTAGTTGGGATTGGCATTACACAGAAGTCACATGACTTGAAAGCTGCTCTTGGATGGACTATCAGTTATGGATGAGACCAGTTACATGCAATGTCCCCCAGAAAAGAAGGGGCCCTAATGGGCAAATTGTCTGTCTGCTCCACACATACCACTTGGATCCAACTTGTTGCTCATTCACATGTCAGTGTTTTGGCAACAAGAGGTGGGGAGGGAATGAAGTGAGGAACAAGTGTCCACTGGGCACATAAATTCCATAGGCACACACGTCTAGAATCAGGCAGCTAAAGATCCTATGCTCCCCAACCAATCTCAGGGCAAGATGTTACACGGGGTGTAAAGCAAACTTAGTCTGG